ATTAAGTAAACGACGTTTCTATTCGGCAATTAAAACAATTCTCTCCAGCTGATTATAATGAATAGGCGAAATGTGTGAACAGTAAATAGAATCTAATTATGTCAGTTGTTTGTAGATAGCTCCTGTATTGTGTTAGGTTAGTTCTTTAATGTCTTTTTAGGCCATATATTTTTTATTGTATTACTGTAACAGGGCCCGCGGAGCGTATTAGAGAGTGGGGGGGGGGGGCTAAATCATCAATAAAACCCCCAATTAATTAATTTAGAAAGTTTCATTTAGATTTCTATTTTAATAATTTTGGCTGTCAAAAAAAGTGAGGGGCTAAAGCCCCCCCAGCCCCCCCCGTCTCCGCGGTCCCTGTGTAAACGGCCCCTTGGAAATCAGATGTTATTAGATCTGAAGGGGTTACCGTTTTCAATGAAGATTAAATAATAATAATAATAATAATAATAATAATAACAATAAAGTATGAGATTCTACGCTGCAAAACGTTCAGCAAATTGAACAAAATAACATGGTTTTTGCATGTCAACATAAGGGAATATGACCGCAGATTCCCTCTCCCTGAGCGTTTGTCTTACTCCCAACCACAGCAATCTTCCCCTGCTGATGATCATCGTTCGCAAGGCTTTCATTGTTGATGCCTTCAGGAAAATAAGCCCTTCAGTAGAACAAAGGAATCATCCCTGAAATAGCCTGCTCTTAATATTACATGCTCTTAATATTACAATATCTACAGCCTGAAAGCGGTAGAATTGAAAACCGATATCATTTTCTCACAACTGTACACGGACAATAATGAGCTTTCCATATCTTCCACAACAGTTGTGAGTCGTTATAGAAAATAGATTCGAACAGGTATTAATTAGACACTGAGGTCTGAGCTTATTTTATTGTTTTAATACTATGTTCTATTACTATTACATAAAGTTTAAATTCTATATTCCCCGAGCCAACGGCGTGGAGCGCCGTTCCGGGCGAGGGTACTAATAAGCTTTAGTATAAATTTCCAGGTGACTATTGATTTTTCTGCATTCTGATTGGTCAAGATTCACTGTCTCTGAAGTGATAGTCACTGGTCAGTGACTATAACTTTTTTTTCAAAATGGCTGCTCGTTTTGCCGTAGTAACAGAGGAGGAAATTGCCAAAATTAAAGAAGATAGCATTCCGAAAAAACCCAAACAAGCTACAAAATATGGTTTAAAAATATTTCAAGGTAAAATATTAAACTTTACGTGCTTTTATTTGGAAAAAAACTGGCTTAGTCGCAACGCGACACAGAGCCGTGTCTGAGATTTAAATTTTGTAAACAAACTATTTATAGCGAAAATAAATTTATTTGAAGTGAATTTTTATAAAGTTGTGTGGATTATTGTTTGTAAACACCTGGAAATTTATACTAAAACAATTAGTCGCCTCAGGCTCGGTGATTACAAGCCAATATTCACTTCGCCTTCGGCTCAGTGAATATAGGCTTGTAATCACCTCGCCTTCGGCGACTAATTGTTAAATACTAGTAAGGGTACTAGTAAGCCCGGGCGAGGGTACTAATTCCGCCCGGCTATTTACACCCGGGGAAACGAAAGCATCAGCCAAGTCTAAAGTTCATCAATGATCGCGGGCGTGGGTCACCAACGAAGTTTCGGTGGGTGGTCATCCTCACTGATCTCAAAAATATGGTGGATTGTCATGAATAGCGCACACTGATTGGTCAAATTTAAAGTTTGTATTATAACGACTGCATGACGACTGCGAAATAGCAAACATTTCTTGCTTTGATGATTGATGAATGACGATTTCTTGCAAATATATTTATTTTTGCAAGATTTTGTGAATTTCAAAAGCTTTTTAAGCCAATAAAGGCGAAATAATTACTAAAAGGAGTAAAGGCACCAACGTTAACGAAGGTAGATTTGTTTTAAATATTGATGTATTGTTCTCTTTATAACGGCTTTGAAATTGATCGTTGCGTATATTTTAAATGAAAAAGACAGCATAAAATTTCAGTGTTTAATCTTTATTGATTAACCTTTTTTTATTATATTAAAAAAGAAAGCGACGTTGTTTGAATTAGCCTCCTGCGCAGACGTTGTTAGTGGCCGAGGCCCCACCTAAAGTCTGCTCACATTGGCTATACATTTGACTTCCCGGCAATTAACCAATCACAATCATGTACACGGTAATTGGAACATCGACCTTCACTGACTTTGACAAACATGGCCTATTTATATCAGCAAGTCTGTAGTATTTTTAAATTTGAAAGCCTTAATGCCGCGCATCAGGCTTTTCATTCTATAATAAACGAAATCAGGGATGTTTTCGTAAATCTCACAACTGGCTCAGGAAATCGCTTATTTATCACGCCGTTACCGAAGCTATTCGATGTAATATTCAGATTTAAATATTTAAACAAATGGTAAACATGAACACATTTAGTAATCGTGGTTTCTCCATTGGCATTGATAAATTTAACACGAGATCAGAAAACTACACGATCTAGGAGTCAGTGCTGTGTCATTATTAAGTGGAATCGAGAATGATGAAGAAGCAAGGCATTGGATCGAAGAAGGGAACTATTCTGTATTATATAGGCTAGCACAGCATGCAGAGATATTGTTGAAGACAAAGTGAATATCAGAATGGTTTGTGCTGCTTTTGGCTATTGATGCATGTAGCTCGTGAAATTCTCAAAGTCACAGGAATAATCGATCGGCTTTGACCATTTTAATAGTTGTTATTTTATATTGTCTTTTCTTTTTATACCTTGCCTCGTATTATCGGCTATTGCTTATTATATGAACCATTCTGGTTAACATACATACCCCAACCCTCTGATGTAAACCCTTCATAATTGAAATGCTCATATACACTTGCATGCTAGCACGACATGCAATAGATAATATGCGGCAATGCATGTAGCTATAGCAAGACAAATTCAATTTGATAAGCAATATAAAATATTAACGACTATTAAAATGGCCACAAAAGCGAACACATCTTTAGGATTTATTATAACACATATACATTTTGTTGTTACTAAGCATTCGTCCCCATCGTTCGGTCCTCAACAACTGATGACTCTGCTGCGCCATATAATACAGAATATTTCCCTTCTTCCAATGCCTTCGCTTCTTCATCACTCTCGATTCCACTTAATAATGACACAGCGCTAACTCCTAGATCGTGTAGTTTTTTTGACTTGATCTCGCATTAAATTTATCAATGCCAATGGAGAAACCACGATTACTAAATGTCTACATGTTTACAATTTGTTTAAATATTTAAATCCGAATATTACATCGAATAGCTTTGGTAACGGCGTGATAAATAAGTGATTTCCTGCGCCAGTTGTGAGATTTACGAAAACATCCTTGTTTTCGTTTATAATAGAATGAAAAGCCTGATGCGCAGCATTAAAACTTTCAAATTTAAAAGTACTACAGTCTGTAGTCTACAGATTTGTTGAATATAAATAGCCCATGCATGTGAAGGTCAGTGAAGGTCGATGTTCCAATATCGTGTACATGATTGTGATTGGTTAATTGGTGGGAAGTCAACGTCTGCGCAGGAGAATTTGAAATCATTTTATTTCAAACTCAAAGTTTTCCGATAAAGCCTTTAAATTAAAGGCAGTTTAGTTTTATAAAGAACATTTTATTAAAACGTCTTGCGAAGCGTTTGAGGTTGAATTTTAAATTAAATTGAAACTTATATTACGTATAATGACATACATAACATATATATGTTTGGGAAAATAAAAATATTGTAATTAAAAGTGATATTCATTAGGAGATTTTTCATATATAAAAATATTCTTAACAAAATTATCGTGTTACCATGACAACTACTTTAAATACTTCATGTTCGGAAAATACAATGATTTTGTCAGCAAGGCGAGGGGTTTCTGCATGCATGTATTTTCTAGTTTTATAAAGAACACTTTAAAACGTTTTGCGAAGCGTTGGTGGTTGAATTTTGCCTTAAATTGAAGCTTATATTACGTATAATAACATACCTAAAAGAATATGTTTGGGAAATTGGTAATTTTGTAATTAAAGTGACATTTTTAGGGAATTTTCATTTGTAAAAATATTCTTAAAAAATTACCGTGTTACCATGACAACTACTTTAAATACTTCATGTTCGGAAAATACAATGGTTTTGTCAGAAGGCGAGGGTTTCTGCATGCATGTATTTCTAGTCTATTAATTTAATACTGTTATAGTTCAAAGTAAAACTTAATATGTTATTTTGTGTTGTTTATCAATAATAACGTTGCGACAAAGTTAGCGACGTTTTGAATTTTGGGAGCAACATTTTCAATTTTGGCAACTTTTGGGCAACTTTTCCCCATTTTAGTGAGCAACGTTTGCTCAAATCAGGAGCATAATCTATAAAGGCCTGGTAGGGAGCCACCTCAAGAGCAGTTTTGTGACATTAATTTTCAATTCATACCTGTAAAAACTGTGAATAATTTTTATTTCATATTTCTCTTCTGTTGAAGAGCAAAAATAAGAAAAACTCCGAAAATATAATTTTGACGTTCTTTATTTAGATTTCTTGTTTAATTATTAAATGCGTGCGGAATGCACGCGGAGTCATATTCGCGCAGATTAACCTCTAATCCGCACATTGTGCCAATTAATATTGAGTTTAAGAACCCCGGTTTCGGTGTACGGGTTATTAGTTTTAACTGATGTCTGTAATTCGATCATACTTTTTCTGTTTTCTTGCAATATACAATGATGTAATGCGAAAAATGTGCACCTTAATTACGAGTAAAGGTATAGGCATCGACGAAAATATTGCTAACCAAAGTCATGCTACCCGTACCCGTACACGGAAACCGGGGTGTTTTAAACTCACTAATGGTTAATCGGCACGGAGTTTAACGAATCAGAATCGAGTAAATTTACTAAAATGATTTTATTCGGAAAATCAATTCCTATTTATTTGAAAACATTTCAACAGTTATTTTGAAATTTAACAGATTGCCTGAATGGCAGCCACATGGGAAAATGTGTTGCAAGGTTATGATGTGAATCGTTTCGACGGTGATGTTAGAGAAGATCTGCTCTGTTCTGTTTGCCATGATGTGCCAAAGGACCCAAGGCTTTGCCAGAATAGAGACCATCTATTTTGCTTTGATCATATCTCACGACATCTTCATGAAAATTCTCACACATGCCCAGTGTGCAGAGATCCTCTGACCCCCGAAACCCTGAGACGTCCTGAAGGATTTTTGAAGAATTATTTAGATGATCTGAGAATCAAGTGTGACCACGATGATCGAGGTTGCCCTGACATTGTACGGCTTGAACATCTTCATATTCATGTCAATCAATGTGGATTCGCACCTGTTATGTGTGAGAATGACGGATGTGGGGTGATTGTCAATAAAAGAGATCAAGAAAATCATGAAAAAAATCTTTGCCAATTTAGAATCACCAAATGTCATGACTGTACAGACATTAAAGCAAGTCAAAATGAGATAAAAGTTCAGATTACACAAATGGAGGATCAAATAAAGGTAACATCAAACTTTAGTTTTCCCTTTTTCGGCGTATATGACTTATATGGCAATCTTTATAAACCGGTTATAAATTTTACAAGACTCCTATTTATGGTTATTCAGTTAGAACATTGACCGTAGTTCGTCCAAATGTCAAATATGATGATTTTAGGCATCTCACTCGATAATTATAGAACTAACAGTTGTAGGGTTTTTGTCTCAGAGCCGACGGCGCGAAGCGCCGTGCGAAGGTACTAATCCCCCGGCTATTTACACCCGGGGAAACGAAACCTTTAGCGAAGTCTAAAGTTCACCAATGATCGCGGGCGTGGCCCACTGTGCGTAGGTGGTCATCCTCACTGATCTCAAAAATATGGCGCTGTCATGAATAGCGAACACTGTGATTGGTCTTTCATGATTGGACAAATATGGCGCTGTCATGAATAGCGAACACTGTGATTGGTCTTTCATGATTGGACAGTCATGAATAGCGAACACTGTGATTGTTCCAATTTAAAGTTTGCATTATAACGACTGCATGACGACAGCGATACGAAATAGCAAATATTTCTTGATTTGATGATTGAATTTAAAGTTTGCATTATAACGACTGCATGACGACAGCGATACGAAATAGCAAATATTTCTTGATTTGATGATTGATAAATTTCTTGCAAATATATTTCATTTTTGCTCGCATTTTTGCAAGATTTTGTAAATTTCAAGAAAGAAAGGACGAAAGAATCGGCTATACAGAAGGGAGCCGACGTTAACGAAAGTAAGTTTGTTTTAAATATTGATTTTATAATTGCTTTAAAACCCGACGGCCTTTGCGTATATGAAACAACTATAAAACAAGACAGCATATAATTTCAGTGTATCTTTAATATTGATTCCTAATATTGATATCATACCTAACATACATATGTTGGGTATGATTATTTTGTAATTAAAAGTGATATTTTTAGGCGATTTTTCATTTGTAAGAATATTCTTAAAAAATTATCGTGTTACCATGACAACTACTTTAGATACCTCATGTTCGGAAAATTCAATGATTTTGTCAGCAAGGCGAGGGTTTCTGCATGCATGTATTTTCTAGTAGAATAGTATATAGTTCCATTTTTCGCATGCAGCTGCTTCTCGGTAGATCTGAAAAATTGTGACTGATATATTCCGATCGAATTTCCGCCTTGAAAACCTCTTCAACTGTCAGAATGTTATACTGTGCACGATATCTGAGATAATATTTTAACATTAATATTAATTGTAATTCAGGAATCCCAAGCAAGAATAGAAGTTCGTGTCGAGGAAATTAAAGTAAGGCAAGATTTGTTATTTATTCTTAGTTTTGCAGTTTTGGATATCTATTTGGGAAAAAAATTAAATACAATAGAACCCCGCTTGAACTCTTAAAGGAAACGAAAAATTGTTCGACTTAGTGGGGGTTCGCTTGAACGAGGGTGGTGCTTACTTCGTTTATTAGGTTAATAGTTAAAAAAGTTTTAAGCAGTTCGTTATGTTAGTCATATCGTCTAATTTTTCTTTCGACACACCTAATTAAATTTTATTTCTAATTGTAAAATTGTTAAAATCTGATTAGAAACTAAGACACTCAAGGTATGGCATAATAATTATGCCTATTCTCGGAAAAGCCCTGGAACGCCATTAATGAAGCAGATTGTACAACCTTGTCCAACACCGCATCAAGAGATCTCAACATGGCTTGCTAAGATTATTTTGTGCGTTTGTTGGTGTTATGTACTCAGGTGAATATGATGTTTGTGATGTTACTCTAAGTGTGCATCCACACCGCCAGGCAAGCTGAAAAGTTAGCTTGGCCACGTTAAGTTCACGATTATGTGTTATCCGACATACCAAGAGATAATATCAATCCAACATATTCCACCGAAAGGATATGACTTGCCAGCTAAGCTATGTCCCCTAAATTAATATATATATATATATATATATATATATATATATACAGGGTGTATAAAAATTCTCAAACTCAAATTTTGTGGACCAGGGAGGTGTGTCTTTTCCAACAAATTAAAAATGGCTCGCGCACAAAATTTAAAAGATGTAATCATATTTTGAGTTTATAGATGGAAACTTTGTCGGGTTTTTAATTACTGTACAAAATTTCAGACAATTTGGTTTAGTTTAAGCCCTTTAACTATTTATATTATTCTAATAAATCAGCTTTTCGCATGCTTAATTAATGCCTTTACCTAATTTGCATATTGCTGACATATGCAAATTAGGCAAATGCATTAATTAAGCATGCAAATAGCTGATTTTTAGGAAAAATGTAAATTTGCGTGAATAGTTCAAGGGCTTAAACTAAATCAAATTGTCTGAAATTTTGTACAGTAATTAAAATCTCGACAAATCTTCCATCTATTAACTCAAAATATGATTACAACTTTTAAATTTTGTGCGCGAGCCATTTTTACTTTGTTGGAAAAGACACCCCCCCTGGCTCACAAAATTTGAGTTCAAGAAATTTTTTTCATTATTCTACATTATAAGTACCCAGAAGCTATATATATAAAAAGCTATATATATATATATATATATATATATATATATATATATATATATATATATATATATATATATATATATATATATATATATATATATACCAAATATGTATTTAGAATCATATATGAGTAGAGTGCTCGATATACCGAAGTATAGAGCTAATATAGATAAAGATAAAATAAACCTGGTTTACTTCATTTAGTGAATAAATCTTATGAAGTAAACCAGGTTTATTTTATCTTTATCTATATATATATATATATATATATATATATATATATATATATATATATATATATATATATATATATATATATATATATATATAATTGATGGTGACACTTTGCATGCGTTCATTTACTTGATTTGCATTTTATCTTAATTTTTTGTATAATACAAGATAGGCCAACAAATTTGCAAAAAATTAAAATTTCTGATGTATGTTAATTGACACTAATTTAGGAACAAGATGACGAAATCAAACAATATCAAGCCCAGACAAGAGAAGAATTCAACGAAATGAAAAATAAAATCGCAGGAATTGAAAGAAAACAAGATGAAATGAAGGTAGGCAAAATTAATCCTTTCCGTAGTTGCACGAAAATGAATTTAATAGTTGTGTATGGTGTCCTAGGAGAGACATCAACATTTTTGTTTCATTTTTAAATTTATTTGCATTCAATTTACATTTAATGTATTTTTATTTTTAAAATTTATCTTTTTCTTGTTTCTATTTTGTTTTAAATTATTTTAAAACGTTTCAACTCAATTGGTTTTAATTTTAAAATTAATGATGTCTCTTCTCGGACATAACGATTTAAAAAAAAAATCCTCATGTCCGAGAAGAGACATTACGTCACAGATTAAATATGACCAGATGTGAAACTTAATAGGACTTTGTCACAGAATAAAGACATACAGAAGGTCGACTCGAGTAACTGCTGCCACGCCATAATTCGTCATGAAAATACTGACGCCATGGTCCTAGCCAGCGCGCTTATGAGAGGCATTCCCCCCTGGACTTCCGACATTTTGAATATTATCACGGGGGTGAATGTTTCTCAAACGCGCACTGGCTAGGGCATGGCGTCAGCATTTTCATGACGAATTACGGTTACGCCAAAATCATTGGAAAATCATAGGAAAAACCAAAAAGTTGGGCAACTGTGTAGCCTATTCTGTGACTTCGTGTCCTCAAATTTCCCTAGATGTACATACACGTCATGCTCATGCCATCATGGCGATCACATTTGCTAGCAAAATGGCGTCCTGAAAAACACGAACTTTTGCACTTTATTGCGGCCTTTTTGGATCGAAATTTTTGGATTAAACAATCAATGTTGAATGTTGTTGAAAAGTGTTGAAAGCATTTTTAAAAGCAAGACGTATTACCAAATGACAAATTATCACGCGAGCGACACTTGATAGGAAGATGGCGACCGTGGGACAACTTTTTACTGAAGTTACACATCTGTTCTTTATCTGTGATTATATCTATATAGCTAAGTGCATGAACTTGATTTACCGCTGCCCACGATTGTCAGATGAGGCGCATGCTCTCCCCAGTCTCTCTGCGGCAGTTAGGTCAAACTGAAAGCATGGCGGACGAAGGCCTAGTGAGTTCAAGAAGAACCAGAAGATTATGGCAGCAAAGAGGACAAGAAAAAGAGAACGAAACAAACTTGGAAAGGGTAAAGACCGGCTCTCGTACCTGAAAAATTAACAATTCAGCGATTATCAGCTCAAGTTAAAGGATCTTCCCAAAAGTATGCCAGAATGGGGCCTTTAGTGTGACTATATATTGTTTGTGGATAAATCGTACAAAAATTGTACCATTAAGGCTATGTTTACATTGTATCGGATCAGTTTTTGTTTCGTTCGCGAAAAGTTACGGCCCGAGTGTAAACAGCTTCCGCCCCGCCCATCTATGCCGTCGTATTTTCTTCTATATATTATTAGAATAGTAAGTTGTTGTTTGCCAGATTCCATCCGAGTCACGCATTGAACCGAAATTGCTCCGATTGGTGTTTACATTACAATGAGAGCGTTGCAAAAACCGATCCGATACACCGCGCACCACTTCGAAGAGCGAACCGCCGCACCACCGATACACCGCGCACCACTTCGAAGAGCGAACCGCCGCCCCACTGTTCGTTGCAGAAATTGAGACGATAACAACATTTCATATGTAAACAGAAGCCCTATCAGGTATGATTTTTGCGTCGGACGCAAAGTGATCCGATACAATGTAAACATAGCCTAAGATTCTTTAATTCGTTTAGATTTTCGATAGGTGGTCCTCGCTCAGTTTCTAGTATATTACAATCAAACCCGTTCATGTTGAAACCAGCAATACAAGCCCTTCTCGCAACATCAATAGATGGTGGTGCACACATGTCGTCTTCCAAAACATTTTAAAGGGTAAAAACATTAAAAAACATTGTACTCTTTTTAAAAGCCCCATTCTGGCATACTTTTGGGAAGATCCTTTAACTTGAGCTGACAATCGCTGAATTGTTCATTTTTCAGGTACGAGCCGGTCTTTACCCTTTCCAAGTTTGTTTCGTTCTGTTTTTCTTGTCCTCTTTGCCGCCATAATCTTCTGGTTCTTCTTGAACTCATCTTCGTCCGCCATGCTTTCAGTTTGACCTAACTGCCGCAGAGAGACTGGGTAGAGCATGCGCCTCATCTGACAATCCTGGTCAGCGGTAAATCACGTTAATGCACTGAGCTATATAGATATAATCACAGATTAATGAGAGATGTGTAACTTCAGTAAAAAGTTGTCCCACAGTCGCCATCTTCCTATCAAGTGTCGTTCGCGTGATAATTTGTCATTTGGTAATACGTCTTGCTTTCAAAAATACTTTCAACACCTTTTCAACAACTTTAATTGCTTTCAACAACTTTAAACATTTAACATTGATTGTTTAATCCAAAAAGTTCGATCCAAAAAGGCCGCAATAAAGTGCAAAAGTTCGTGTTTTTCAGGACGCCATTTTGCTAGCAAATGTGATGGCATGAGCATGACGTGTATGTACATCTAGGGAAATTCGAGGACACAAAGTCACAGAATAGGCTACACAGTTGCCCAACTTTTTGGTTTTTCCTATGATTTTCCAATGATTTTGGCGTAACCGTAATTCGTCATGAAAATGCTGACGCCATGCCCTAGCCAGTGCGCGTTTGAGAAGCATTCACCCCCCTGATAATATTCAAAATGGCGGAAGTCCAGGGGGGAATGCCTCTCATAAGCGCGCTGGCTAGGACCATGGCGTCAGTATTTTCATGACGAATTATGGCGTGGCAGCAGTTACTCGAGTCGACCTTCTGTATGTCTTTATTCTGTGACAAAGTCCTATTAAGTTTCACATCTGGTCATATTTAATCTGTGACGTAATGTCTCTTCTCGGACATGAGGATTTTTTTTTTAAATCGTCATGTCCGAGAAGAGACATCATTAATTTTAAAATTAAAACCAATTGAGTTGAAACGTTTTAAAATAATTTAAAACAAAATAGAAACAAGAAAAAGATAAATTTTAAAAATAAAAATACATTAAATGTAAAATGAATGCAAATAAATTTAAAAATGAAACAAAAATGTTGATGTCTCTCCTAGGACACCATAGTTGTGAAAAAAAATGTCTACGTATTCTAGATCTCGGCAGTTCCGCGGCAATTATATATTATTCCATTCAACGATGATTTGAAATGTATATAAAACACAAATAGGTTAATTTCAAACCCAGCTAGAATTTTGAATATGCATTTAGTTGTTGCCAGTGACCTTGATATTCTGTTAGTATAATCTGCATAGACCTTATTCATAAATCGCAATCGGGTCCTCATACTTTATCACAGGAAACGGTAATAAACGCAGGAAAATTTGCAAAATGTTTTCTGCTGTCCACTATGGAAGTTTTTTTTTTGAGAATATTACTACTTTTTTCGAAAATATTGTGTATAAAACTGAGCTTAAAAGTTTGAAATAATACACTTCTTAGAAAATATATATATGTTATTTACCGGCTGGGAGGTCCGTACTGAAGAATGTTTTCCCGAGGTCCCAGAAGCGGCCCGAGACTGAAGGTCGAGCGACGCTTCTGAGACCGAAGGAAAGTATTCTTCAAGTATATGAACCGACCTCAACGGTAAATAACGTATTTATTTTTTTGCCCGATGCTTAATTAAATTCTTAAAAACTCCAGTGTTGCGAAATAGATTTGAGATCAGTTGTGTTTACTAGCCTACTTTAATTCAGTGCTTTATCCAAGCTTGGCTGATATCTTGCTAAAACGACACGATAAAAAGCCTTTATTTTTGATGCAATATAGATGCGTACTTTTCTACTCAACAAAAGAATAAAAAGGTAAAGCGATAAAAAATATTTATTTTCCTAAAAACATGCTTCAAAAATGTTCTTTCGACACGCAGCAACAAATTGTACTTGCCGAAAACATTGTGTTCATGACAACATTTATAAAAATATATGACTGAAACATTTAGCACTGTCATTTCGATACCTATATGTCAAAGAAAGACTTGTTTTTTTTCTATTTAGGTCGGAAAACAAGAACATTTCGGGCTTGACACTAAATCTATTGAATCAGTTCACCTTATTTTTCTATCTTTAGTAATTAGTATCGATAGGGAGGATTTTTAAACTTTTGGATAACTTTTTCGTTTTGAAAATTGTCTTCACTCCTCGGTTTGTTTTGGCGCGAAACGTGAGAGGTCCGTAACGTGTGTGAGAGGTCCGTAACGTGTAATACGGACCTCTCGTAAACCAACCAGAAGGCTCCATTTACATTACGGACCTGGGATTACGGACCGGAAAAAAAAATAAAACGCCATAATTAACGTAAAAGGTGCTGGGGGTCAATCGGAAAAGGAAACCTTTTTATTTTTTCCGGTCCGTACTCCCATGTTCGTAATGTAAATGGAGCCTTTTGATTGGTTGACGAGAGGTCCGTATAACACGATACGGACCTCTCACACACGTTACGGATCTCTCACGTTACGGACCTCTCATCGAGGAGTGAAGACCGCATGATTTTCAAACTCAAAAAACAATTCGAAATAAGCTGAAAAGCCCTCCCTATCGATACTAAAGATGGAAGAAATAAGCTGAAATGACCTCAATGGATTTCGTGTCAAACCCAAAATGTACTTTTTTCGACCTAGATGCGCAAAAACAAATATTTCCTTGACGTATACAAGTATCGAAAAATCAGTGCCAAATGTTTAATGTCAAAAACTCAGCATATATTCAGCTAAATTTCGAAAAATGCAGATTAAAATACAAATACTGGAACCAAGGACTTATTCTAAAACATACAAATTTAAAAAAAATACCTTCAAACATGACTTCTAGTCCCATTTCAGTCATATAATTATTCTTTTATAAATGCTGTCATTGTTGTCGATCGGCATGTACAATTTGTTGCTCCGTGTCGAAAGAACATTTTCGAAGCATGTTATTACGCTAAAAATATAAAAAAATAAATAGTTTACATTTTCATTGTCTTGATTAGTAGAATAACATCTATTGCATAAAAATTAAAGACTTTTTATCGTGTCGTTCTAGCAATATGTCAGCCATGCTTGCGACAAAAGTATTTTTAATTAAAATAAACATGACGTCAAATCCAGTTCGCCACACTGGAGTTTTTTTAGGAATTTAATTTAGCATCGTGCAAAAAAATAAGTTATTTATTAGATAATTACTGCGGTCAACGGCATTATTGGATATATTGCAGCCACCTTGGGCCTCCGCTGGCTGCAATATATCCAATAATGCCAGTTGGCCTCAGTAATTATCTATTATAATTACTGACCCGAATCAAAAGTACTTGATTATTTTCGGCTGGAAGACTACGTTGCTGCTTGTTGGGATCGTATGACAATGAATCTATCCAACGTTACACTAGACATTTGTGAGGACATGCATATAGACATAACCATAGGCACTGTAGTGCATCGTGATAGAACAGATTTCAGTTTAATTAATTGCCCTAAATTAAAATCTCCACAAGCGGAGGTCAATTATAGTGTTCTAGTTTACATATTAGAGAAGTTAAGATACCCCGGTTTACGGGTACGAGTGATATACACGTACCCGTAAATCGAGGAGCGACTTGTCACTTAAGAAATCCAAGATATTCCAGCCTGAGAAAACCGATCAGAAAATGGCAACTTTCGATGTTGAGGTTCTTCATTGATTGTTGAAAACTTTGACAAGTATATGTGCTGTATTTAATTGGGTAAGATATTGAAAATTTGTACTATTTGAACGGCCCACAAATAGTAAACAGAAAACACCCGTGCCCGTCTGTCTTTACGTGTAGACAACGGTTTACCGCGGGGAAACGGCTTGAAATTACGGGTAAAAATGCTGACATCAGCAAAAATTGGTAAACAAAATGGCGATACTCGTACCCGTAAACCGGAACCGTGGTATCTTAACCTGTCTATTATCATTAATGATAAGGTTAAAGATTATCATTATATATATATATATATATATATATATATATATATATATATATATATATATATTATCATATATATATATATTATCATATATATTATCATATATATTATCATTAATGATAAGGTTAAGAGCGCATTACACTGGATAAACACGGGCATAGAACTTATGGTGTGTTTTGCACATGCATATATCTAGGATAAAATCACACAAGCGCAAACGAAAGTATTTCTCAGTAAAATTGAACTGAAATGATTCACAGTGACCGTTTTTGGCAGTGCTTCAGGCACCCAATGATACTGTATGAGGGACCTTTAGCACTGTCACCTTCTCATCTTCAGATGTTAATGTTCACGTTATCGCGTGTACATGTCAACGAAGATGCATTATTGCTAATAATACCATAGTTGCCTCGAAATTCTTTGTCTCGCGAGGTACGATTAATCACTAATTTACCTCAGTCATTACTAAAACATGGAGTAAAATTAGAACTAATTTTACCACGGGCTAATTTACCTCAGTCATTACTAAAACATGGAGTAAAATTAGAACTAATTTTAGCCCGTGGTAAAATTAGTTCTAATTTTTCCCTGCATGCTTGATGAGGGAAATTTAGAAGACAAAAGCGTACCACCTCATAACCTCTGATTGGAGAGCTGTACCTCATCGAAAATCATCGGCACAACTATGGACAGTATCTGACGGCACCGTCCCGTACACATTCGAACAATCACTTTGCCAGCTTTTATTCCCTAATCTTGAACATTACAATTGTGGGAGGCATGGAGATGTGTTTCTGCGCGTGCATATATATGAAAAGTGTTCGTACCACAATCATAAGACAATCAAAAAGCATTCAAAACAGGCAACGCACCACGCGCGGATTCCCTCGGCAACTACGGTATTACAACGTAATAGCATGGCATTACGGTCGATTAGTGATGAAATGTCCCTCAATTCAAGCCTCGAGAGGTTTAGTAAAAGTCCCGAGGCGCGTACTAAACCTCTCTCGGCTTTCGGGCACATTTAATCACTAATCGCCCTGAATGCCATGCTATTACTTATAATAATGTCTGTGTGCACTGATCACGATGCATTATTTTAAATAATGCTGTGTGCACGCTGCATCATTTTTAATAATGCTGTGTGCACGCTGTATTATTTTTAATAATGCTGTGTGCTATTTTAGCCCCTATAAGCATTTAATAATTACTAACACCCTCATCAAACCTATTGTTTCCCCCTGCATTATATCAGCGAATGTCGAGACGTTTTAACGTTCTTCTGAAAAACGGGAGCGGTCTTTTTGATTGTAGGGAAATTCCCAGGGGTAAATGTTTATTCGGGCTATAATAGCACACAGCATTATTTTTAATAATGCAGCGAGCATACAGCATTATTTTTAATAATGCAGCGTGCACACAGCATTATTAAAAATAATGCAGCGTGCACACAGCATTATTTTTAATAATGCAGCGTGCATCAGTGCACCCAGACATAATTAGCAATAATGCATCTTCGTCACCCTGACATGTACACACGATAACGTGAACATCTCAAGATGAGAAGTTGACAGTGCTAAAGGCCCCTCATACAATATCATCGGGCGCCTGAAGCACTGCCAAAAACGGTCCCTGTGAGTCCTTTCAGTTCAACTTTAGTAAAGAAATAGTTTCGTTTGCACTTGTGGGATTTTATCCTAGATATAGGCATGTGAGAACACACCATAAGTTCTATTCCCCGTGTTTATCCAGTTTAATAAGCTCTTTGAATTAACTTTATCATTAATGATAATACATAAACTATAGACTATAATTGACCTCCGCTTGTGGAGATTTTAATTTAGGGCGATTAATTAAACTGAAATCTGTTCTATCACGATGCATTACATGCATGTCCTCACAAATGTCTATTGTAACGTTGGATAGGTTCATTGTCATACGTTCCCAACAAACAGCAACGTAGTCTTCCAGCCGAAAATAATTACTTTTGATTCGGGTCAGTAATTATAATATTTATAGATAATTACTTCGGCCAACTGGCATTATTGGATATATTTCAGCCAGCTTCGGCCTTCGGCCTCAGCTGGCTGCAATATATCCAAAAATGGCGTTGGCCTCAGTAATTATCTAACAACCCTTGGGAATTTCCCTACAATCAAAAAAGACCGCTCCCGTTTTTCAGAAGAACGTTAAAACTTCTCGACATTCGCTGGTATAATGCAGAGAGAAAACAATAGGTTTGATGAGGGTTAGCAATTATTTACCGTTAAGGTCGGCACGTACTTGTAAGATATTTTCCTTCTGTCTCAGAAGCGTCCCTCGACATTCTGTCTCGGGCCGCTTCTGAGACCTCGGGAAAATATTTTCAGTACGGAACACCCAGCCGCTAAATAACATATATGTATTGTTCAAGTTTGTATGGCCAAAACAAACAACCAACAAGGCTACAAAACATCTACAACTCCAAAACCGTAATAAACATGAAACTACGGTTGAAGAAATAAGATTATAACTCACTCAGTTAATGTAACCTTCATTTTTGCTGCAAGATGCTTGCAGTATGTAATCGAGCGACATGCATAGATCATATTTTTCCATGCGCACCAATAACATTTGATGTTGTGTTGTGATTTTGACCCCTTCTTTTCTTTCATAATAATGTCTAATTCCAAAAGCTATACTTTCATATGTTACAAAGGCTTGCAAGTAATTCTAGTTACTGTGTGTTTTGCTTATTATTGGCGTGGGGGGCTTAAGCCATATCGCTACATGGTTATATGTTCTCATTTTTCACACAAAAAACTGGAGAAACCGGTCGTTTTTATATTATTCTCGTTTATAGCCTTCGTTGTGCGTGTATGTCCAATATAGCCATCGGTTGTCACAGGTGGTGAAGATTGTGTAAGATGGTGTCAGATGCTTTGTTTGTCAGATGCTTGAGTGTAGTGTCGGATGGTGTCGGATGGTTCAGCTGAACAGCTGTTGTCAGGTGGTGAAAATAGTGTCTGCTGGTGAAGATGGTTTAATGGGGGGGGGGGGTGTCTTAATTTAACCTACTTGCATATATAGTGTTCCCTCGTTTTTCAAAACCACGTATATATCAACAAAACCTACAAGACCAACGACAAAAGCGTTATGGCTAATTGTGCATATATAGTGTTGCCTTCCTTCTTTCAAAACCAGGTATATATCAATAAAACCTACAAGACCAACGACAAATGCGTTATCATAGCTAATTGTGCATATATAGTGTTGCCTCGTTCTTTCAAAAACACGCTTCGTATATACTAAACTGCCGTAACAAACGCGTCAACGCATTACTATACAATCTTGGACAACGTCAAAAATTGTGTATTTATACTTTTCATATGTACACATGCTTATATTCACTTTGACATTTCAGGCATTTCCGGGCAGCAAACTATAAATTATAACAGTTATAACATGCACTAGCGGGAAAGTTAATACAGGTTATCTCAACTTCATGGCTATAACGCAGCCATACAATGTCAATGAGAAATACATGCATAAGCCAATCATGCAATAAGTCTTGTCAATATTGTGTGCACTTTATATAACTGAATGTAGCAATTCATTGCACATACACAATCTGACACACTTCGACCATCATACACCATCTGTACCATCTTCACCATCTGACAACCCGTCCCTGTATAACCACCCTACACCATCATACACAATCTGACAACCATCTGACACACTTCGACCATCATACAATATCATACACCATCTAACAACCATCTGACACACTTCGACCATCATACACCATCTGTACCATCTTCACAATCTGAAAACCCTTCCCTGTATAACCACCCTACACCATCATACACCATCTGACAACCATCTGACACAGTTCGACCATCATACACCATCATAAACCATCATACACCACCATACACCATCTGACAACCATCTGACACATTTCGACCATCATACACCATTTGTACCATCTTCACCATCTGACAACCCGTCCCTGTATAACCACCCTACACCATCGTACACCATCTGACAACCATCTGACACACTTCGACCATCATACACCATCATATACCATCTGACACACTTCGACCATCATACACCATCTGTACCATCTTCACCATCTGACAACCCTTCCCTGAATAACCACACTACACCATCATACACCATCTGACAACCATCTGACACACTTCGACCATCATACACCACCATACACCATCTTCACCGTCAGACATCAGATGCCTGTATTGGACAAAACTCTCGTTGTGAGCAGAAAATCTTAAAATATACATAACATCATTATAAATTATTTTGAAATAAGCAACAAGAAAGAAGCCGTTAAAATGGCGTCTGAACTTTGCTTGCCTTGCAGCTTTTGTTTGTTTTCATGCGTTTATTCCCGTTTTCTTTGATACAAGGGCCCAATTTCGATTTATGAATAAGGTCCATAATTATGAGTTTGACATTCGTTGTTAAACGTTTGCAAATGAATTAGTTCAACTTCGAGTAGATTATTATTAATGAATCGGCTGAAATCGCAGCAATTTGTCATCAAAACTACGAGAGATTCTCTGTAAACAAGTCAACAAAATATTTTATTTTGAATTCAGCAAAGCGTCGACACGATTAGCCAGCAGTTTGAAAAAATTGTGGTAATGGTCAACCAAGCATTTCAAGGGCGTACCTGTTCTATAAACAACAATGGTGCTCAAGCTATCGATCCAACAGTTCCAGACAACAACCAAGAGATTATTATTCTTGGCGGTTTTTTTGGCCCAGAAGATGACGCTGTATCAAATACAGCAGAGAAATTCAACATAAAAGGGGGATCGACTCAGCTACCAAGTATGAATCTCTCGCGAACAGCGTCAGCGTCTTGCCTTTACAACGGCGATGTCTTCATCGTAGGAGGTCACGATGGTCGTGCCGGCACAGACACAATTGAGGTCTTGAAGATGAGGCAGCATCCTCTGCAATGGATGGAGTTGGAAGCTAAACTACCTGTCAAGTTGTCTGGGCATGTCGCCATAGTGTATCAAGGGAAATTATGTCTCATCGGTGGGTATAATTGGAATGAAGGCAGAATATCTGATGCCATCTACGCAATGACCCTTACCCCACCTTATCTTTCCCAACTGCTGACAAGAATGTCTCAGCCAAGAACGTTGCACAGAGCAGAAGTAGTTAATGGCAAGCTATTTATCTTGGGAGGTTCAGCCACATCGTATAGTAAAGATGCTGTTGACAGCGTTGAAGTTTTTGATTTCATCACAAATGAGTGTGTCCCATGCGCATCCTTACCGAAACCTGTCTGTTTTATGTCCACGGTCACTTGGGGTGGGATGATCATCGTTGTTGGAGGTATGAATAATAATAAAGAGGTTTTAAATGATATCATCATGTATGACCCTCGCACAGGGCAAAGTCAAATATTACCTTCAATGAAATTCAAGAGGTGTGGTTCTTCAGCCGTAATCATGAATAACCTTATTGTTGTATTGGGAGGATGGAATGGGGATCAGGGGCATCTCAACCTGGTAGAAAGTTTCGCAATGGGTAGTGATGTTTGGGAAGAACAGCAGGGAATAACGGAAATAAGGCATCGGGCAACTGCTGTAGTGAATCCTCATAACTAGTTTTGAAGGTTTTACAAGATACATGTTAGATACATTTTACATTTTTGATGTTTTAAATCGTGAGCATAAAAATTTATATTCTATTATTTTCCTTTTAAAACTATATTACCAATATATTGTCCAATGTAAACAAAAATATAATTTTAGAAATCTCATGCAAACAGTGGTGGAGACAATGGTGGAAGACTATTATTTGTGTGATAATTGATTGAATGATACTTGATAGATGATTAGGCGTTACATGTACTTCAAAATGGTGCTAAATTTTTCTTTAAAAATTCGACTAAAATATTCATGTTTTGAATGAATCTGTGCCAGCCTACTATTATTCGTATTATGAAACCATGATGTGCCGCGAGTTATAAGAATAACTATAACTCATTATTATACAGTGTCGCACGTCGCCTGCAACCAGAATGGCAGAATAAGCCAACTTGCACTGCGCATCCACATTATGCGTTCTGCGTCAGTGGAAATTGAAGTTTAACTGTAACTTAAGAAATGTTCATTCACAACTGTTCAATCATAATTTGAATATGGAAAAAGTTAGTTACCAAATGTGTAACGTTAACTCGCTTTAAATCAGCAAAAAAGAATCCCTTAAGTGTATGTAGCGTAGTTTCATTTTTTAACACAGTAGACAAAATAATCTAACACAAGAATAATTTTATGACAGTTCTATTGTTGAAACACAAATAATTGAATATTGGCTATAATTGAAACACAAATAATGTTTGAACAGTTCAATACTTTGACGTAATATATCAAATCCGACTATATAAGGAATTTACCAGATATCCGGCCCGCGTATTTAGTTCTTCGGATTAATATGACATCTCGTACGAATAAGTCACAACTTAAAGTGAGGTAAATTACTTTCGATCAAGTCCGAGGACTGAATTAATTTTGACACATTCCTAAGAATGGACCAATATACTTCGCAAGGTATCCAGTCTCATCATGTGAGAAAAACAAAATAATATGTTTGGCTAATTTATTCATGCATTATTAATGAATTTGAGATACGCATATAATTATTTACCCCGTCATGTGAATGTGCAGTCGAGACTCCCAACTGGCTTCTTGCATTTTATGTTCCAATCATATTTTCCACCACAAATGACAAATCAGACATAGTTCATTAAAAATGTGAATATTTGGGTACATTGTTTAACACACCTAACCATTGGGCGGCTAATGGTTACAGAATGATACCAGCTTCTTTACAATTTAAATATCGATTACATAGCCTAACAATGGAACTAATTAATTTATAACAGTCATATAGCAACTTGATCGTACAATTAAAATGTTGTCCTGTAATGTTCTAAATTTTTGTTGCTTATGTTTATTCAATAGATCCTAAGTTGATCACGCTTTATCATCCAATATTAATGTAATAGATTATAATTAAGAATTATAATTAAAAAAAAATCATTTCTTGGTTATTCTTATCTTTTTTATGACAGCATTCAAATAATAATTTATGTCATTATTTGTCCTTGCAACGAATAAAATATCTTGTAGCATAGAGATCGAAGAAACAACAGAAATATAAACATAAATTCCACTTCCTCGTTCCACATTTTGAATTTTGTGGCCACGTTAGAAAAATCCTCAGGGCGTCTTTTAGGAATTTGTCAGTGGAGGGGCCATCAAGAGAAGGGGATCCCGGACCCAACTAGGAGGTGGTGATCGAGAAAAGTGGGAACTTGTCTGGCCCAAAAAAGTTGTATCTTTAAATGTCGGGATCTTAATTTTAAGACACAATTTTTTATACATTTCATCCACTAGTCAAAGATTTTTGCTGCCCTGTTTTGCTTATAGTGTAGACAATAACGGGGGGGGGGGTGGTGGACAACCTGGGTCCCTGGAGGGGCCAGAACAGGGGATTGCGGGGACAATTAGTCACCCCAGTCTATGTTATTAAAATAAGCCCTGAAGAGCCTGGTGACTAGTGTTTAAGTAGACGTGAAGTAGTCCATGTTATAAGGCTTGTCCGCCCCCCCCCCCCGCACCGGCTGGCCTCAACATCAGCATTCAACCCTGGGTCCAACTGTAACCAAAGCTCAAGGAAGCATGGGACACTGGCATCCAGAACTGCATGTCCCACCTCACAGACATCCTGCACCAACACCACTCAGAGGAATCATACAAAATTGATGAGCAAATCTCATCACTTTCCACAAAACTAAACGACAATCTCCCACAGGAGTTGTCTAGCACTATCATCCATATCGCAAGCACTCACAAACCACCATCCAAACGCAAAACAACACCAAGTCAAACACCAAACATCAACCGAAGCACCCCAAAACCACAGCAACCACTTCACATCCCACGAAACCTGAAAACAAGCAGGTTTCTCAGAAATGGCCACATCGCCAACAACACAGGGAACCATCACCTCCCACCTGCAAACCACCATTACGAGTACCACCTCCACCCAGCAACACTACACCACTACACCCGCCAACGACCACAATACCAGCTCTAACCAGCATCATGCATTCCTCCATCAAGCAACGACTGATGGGGAAACAAACACAGTTCCCCACCATATACAACATGTTCACCC